ACGCTCAAGTGTGAGCTGCCACCCTAGGATCCTCAGCGAGCGTTGAAATTCTTCTGGAAAAGCTCTTTAACTGCTTCAGGACCGCCCACCATCAAAAAACGTCCTGTCCTGAAGCCATTATACCAAGCACATGGCTGTTGCAGCCATGTCCTTGGTATTGATTTTTTCACGGGCAAACCCAATCTTAAGGCTTGACATGTTTGGTATCTATTTACCCGACGTGACCCCCCCCCCCCCCATCTTTCATATTTTACCAAAAAATTGTGTATTATATTATGTTTATGTGCACTAAATCTCATTTTAGTGTATTTAATCCTAAAAAATACTGGTTTGATAAACAAATGCGCAAATACCGTGCGACATAGAAAATGCATCTAGCATTTTTTTTATTCTACGGAGCTTTTAGAAAATATATAATTGTGTGGGGGGTTATAAGCTGATTTCTAGCCAAAAGTTCTGATTTTATCATGTGCGTGCAAATGTAAGAAATTGCTCCAGACAGCAAGTGGTTAAATCGCTGAAGATTGAAGCTGGGATAAGATACACTATATTGCCAAAAGTATTGGGACGCCGGCCTTTACACACACATGAACTATAATGGCATCCCAGTGTTAGTCCGTAGGGTTCAATATTGAGTTGGCCCGCCCATTGCCGCTATAACAGCTTCAACTCTTCTGGGAAGGCGTCCCATTGCACTTAATGATGTAACGCTTGGATGCAGCTGCTCGGCCATGGAAACCCATTCCATGAAGCTCTCTGCGCACTGTTGTTGTGCCAATCTAAAAGCCACATAAAGTTTGGAGGTCTGTAGCTATTGACTCTGCAGACAGTTGGCGACTTCTGCGCACTGTGCTGACTCCGCACTGTCATTTTACGTGGCCTACCGCTACATGGCTGAGTTGCTGTTGTTTCCAGTTGCTTCCACTTTGTTATAATACCACTAACAGTTGACCGTGGAATATTTAGTAGCAAGGACATTTCACGGATGGACTTATTGCACAGGTGGCAACCTATCACAGTACCACTCTTGAATTCACTGAGCTCCTGAGGGCAACCCATTCTTTCACAAATGTTTGTAGAAGCAGTCTGCATGCCTGGGTGCTTGCTTTTATACACCTGTGGCCATGGAATTGATTGTAACACCTGAATCCAATGATTTGGAGGTGTCCCAATACTTTTGGCAATATAGTGTGTATTTCCTTCCATAGTTATTACCGTAGAAAGCAGTCTTCTTACAATACCAGATGCAGCCACTAGATGGCAGTAGTAGACAGAAAACGACAGTAGAACGGAATGAACAGCAAAGAGGAAGTGGAAAAAGTTCACTTTTCTAAGTTAATGCCATAGTTGAAAGGTTGGAGGCGGTGACCAGAGAAAGGTAGGCTTGAACTGTGGGTGCAGTTTATAATTTATAAATCAGGTAGATTAATGATCTCTAATTACAAATATAAAGGAGGCAGTCTGAGTTACAGCAGTGCTGTTCCTAGTTAGCATAGTCTTGTGATCGAATTTACTAGTTATGATCTCTGCAGAACAGCTTCTCCTAAGGGGACAGCTACTTGTCACTTGGGGAAATGGTAACAGGAGTAATCAGACTAGTGATCCAGACTAGTCCTGGTGTACAACCTGAACAGGGGACTCATATAATACACCAGCATTCCAGTGTCCTAGACCAACTCTGGTAGCTTTCATGGTGTTAAAACAAACAAGTTTCTAAACCTGGGAGGAGGATTCTTCACAGGGCTTATAGAGGCTCAGACAGAAGAAAGGAAGTATGAAAAGAGACGTCATGCTGGGCGAAATGCACACAACCCATGAATAATAGGAAGTGGATGTTCCACTGGGCGCTCGGATCTCATAGGTTGGGGTGGTGGCAGTGACTCCATTTGTGCCCCTTGCAGTTACACCCCTCACTCTGAAAAGCAATGCAAAGTGTTGTAACTGATCTGGCTGCAGCTAAATCAGAACTCCAGGAACAATCTATTTTTAAAAGTTAGATCGGGTGAGCTGCAATGATTCACATGTCCTCAGGGCTGCAGGGGGAAG